GTCAAGGGAAGGAACCCACGACACACCTTAAAATCAGTCGTGTTTTAATCAACCGTTAGTTGCAGTACACAATTTAAAGATCAGCAGACTTTAGGAGCGTTGGTAGAGATCTTCAGTAGAACATTGGAACGTTGGCAGAGATGTTGCTTCGATAAGACAAACAATGGACATTTATTTACCCACAGTAGGACAGGATCGTCACCACAATAGAAACACGCCCAAACCAACGCCAGCATACAGGTAGTCTTACACCACACAACTGTGGTAAGTTGGATATTATTTTTTTCTATTTTTCTACAGACAAAATAAAATTCAGAGAACTAATAGACAGTTTACTAGCACACTAAGACAGTGTGATGGTTAGGGCGTTGATGCAGTAGGAAAATTTTGAAATTGATGCAGTGTGATAATTAGGACATTCAGATCATTTTTTCAACTATATAATTTTAAGCTTTATTAACTTTTATATGAACTATAATATATTCTTTTTGTGGGTGTAGTAAAAATGTGGTCAACATAGAGACGCCCATCTTGGTAAAAACACACCTGATAACCAATTACTGCACTATCATTAACATTAGTTTCATTATAATAGCATGCAAGCCGACAAACTAGTCCACATGTCCGCTGCTCGCCTTTTGATCGAGTGACGAGGTTCCCCCCTCACCCCTCGGGATTTCTGGCCACGTTGAACAGGGAGTCCCGTTTCCTGAGGTAGTAGGTGAGGTCTGCAGGTTCCTGGTGCCAGGTGCTGATGATGGGGTCCGTGAGGAACAGGAACCGTCGGTGTGCGGTGACCTGGTGGTGAAACTCTGTTGAGCAGAACATTTCTGTTGTCACGTGAGTGGGTGAGTTGGGGTAGGGGGGGGGGGTAGTACAATCCATAGACTCTCAATATGTTGTCGATATTATTTCTAATCAATTATTTAATGCGCATTGTTTCACGATCAGTATTGGCACTAAATAATTTTGAGTACACATGCTTGTTTTATGAATTAATTCACGGCATGTAGACCGTCTAAAGACGTCCTGCTAGACAACACAGGGTGCTTCAGGACATTACCTGAGACAACACAGGATGCTGCAGGACATTACCTGAGACAACACTGGACATTACCTGAGACAACACTGGATGCTGCAGGACATTACCTGAGACAACACTGGATGCTTCAGGACATTACCTGAGACAACACTGGATGCTGCAGGACATTACCTGAGACAACACAGGGTGCTACAGGACATTACCTGAGACAACACTGGATGCATGCTGCAGGACTTTACCTGAGACAACACTGGATGCTGCAGGACTTTACCTGAGACAACACTGGATGCTGCAGGACATTACCTGAGACAACACTGGATGCATGCTGCAGGACTTTACCTGAGACAACACTGGATGCTGCAGGACATTACCTGAGACAACACAGGGTGCTACAGGACATTACCTGAGACAACACTGGATGCATGCTGCAGGACTTTACCTGAGACAACACTGGATGCTGCAGGACTTTACCTGAGACAACACTGGATGCTGCAGGACATTACCTGAGACAACACTGGATGCATGCTGCAGGACTTTACCTGAGACAACACTGGATGCATGCTGCAGGACTTTACCTGAGACAACACAGGGTGCTACAGGACATTACCTGAGACAACACAGGATGCTGCAGGACTTTACCTGAGACAACACAGGGTGCTACAGGACATTACCTGAGACAACACAGGATGCTGCAGGACTTTACCTGAGACAACACAGGGTGCTACAGGACATTACCTGAGACAACACAGGATGCTGCAGGACATTACCTGAGACAACACAGGGTGCTACAGGACATTACCTGAGACAATACTGGACATTACCTGAGACAATACAGGACATTACCTGAGACAATACAGGACATTACCTGAGACAACACAGGACATTACCTGAGACAATACAGGACATTACCTGAGACAACACAGGACATTACCTGAGACAACACAGGATGCTACAGGACATTACCTGAGCTCACGCGATAGGCGCTGTAAATGTCCGGCAGTGAGACCATGTGGACTGGCAGCAATCGAATGGAGAAGATTATCACCAGCAGAAGTGTCAATAGGATTAACGGTCGCTTGATCAGCTGCCGATCTGAAATGTCAGTAGTCATATTTGAATGGATGCCTATATGGTTGTTTTTTTTCAATACAGCTATAAAAGTCATGCGGCGAAGCTTAGGATTTGTGGCTACAGGTTACAGCAAGACAGTGAAAGGGTCATTAGGGTTTATATATATATATATATATATATATATATATATATATATATATATATATATATATATATATATATATATATATATATATATATATATATATATATATATATACATATATATATATATATATATATATATATATATATATATATATATATATATATATATATATATATATACATATATTCATTTTTATACCACTAAATAAATTAATAAAATATTCAAACTCCCTCAACATATTATGTGCCAGTAAATAAGTGAATTTCTCCTGAACACGTATAAATAAATATCAGTCGGTTTTCGGGTCTGGGGTTTGTATTACATAAAGGAACAGGTAAAAAATAAACAGCATTTTATTGATTTTAATCACCTGTTGGCATTCTTGCAAGGTGTATGTATTTTATCTATTGTCTGTATTAAATAATAACAAAAAATAATTAAAAGATAGATCTATCCAGACTTCGGCTAGTCTAGATCTGGATAGATTAAGAATTATACATTTACTAGGTCTAGATTACTCCAGCCTATGACTTATAGTCTAGACTCTAAAGTCTAGACTCCAGACTCTAAGCTCAAGATCTAGATCTGTATTGTAACATAGTTTCTAAAATTACTCACTTCTGATAATTTTAATCTTTCTTAATAACACTTGAATAATCCTACTCATTTTAAAAATGTAGGTTCTAATAAATAGTTTAGCAAGAAATCTAGAGTTCAGCAATTACAAACTGTCGATCTACATTTAGTTATCCTCAGTTTTCTAACTTTTCAACATAGAACATTCATTGTGGAGCTTAAATGTACATTCAACATCGATGCGCAAAGGTGCCAAAGTTACAGAAATTGGTGCAACGTTAGTTTGAAATATTCAAACTAGTCAAGAAAGTGAAACCATCTCACTAGCTTTTAAGCATCAACATCCAAATAGTGCTACCATACAGTGTTTCTTTCAGACATTTTTTCTCTGGAGGTGGGGGGGCTACTTGAAACTTACAGTGGGCAGATTTAAATTTCCAGAGGTGTGTGTGTGGGGGGGGGGGGAGGACATCAGTTAAAGAATATATATTGTAAGACTGAAAGAAGCTCTGCTACCATCTCGCAAGCTTCTAGCCATCGCCATCCAAACACCTCTACCATCCAACTCTACTACAATCGTCACGCATTCATAAACCACGCCACTTGACCTTGACCTTTAGAGAAGCTCGTGAACTATTTTCAAGCCCTGCATCTACAATTCCAGAATGGCTTTAGTGCCGTCTGCCATCTTTTTGTCTATCTGTATTTGCCTCCCCTTTCTTCATACGATTGACGACGCTTGGCGCTATTCAGCTGAGTGTAGCGGCGCATCATGGCCGGATTCGATAATCTGACAGAGTTAAACAAAACGCTTCTTGTAAGTTGTTGTTTTTTTTTCTTCTCAAATTTGCATTTGCAAAATATTTTCTTGGTTTTACTTATGTAACACATTCTTGTGTATTTTTTATGAGTGACGTAGGTTTGTAAAGATTACATTACATGTTTTATGCAGCTCGTTTATACGTTCTTAGTATCGAAACCGCAAATACTTGTTATCGCCCAGGGGATCTCGCCATGCTGTGATCATCTGGTATCCAAGTGAGCAGAGTTTCCTCCCCTTAGTTTTTTTTTTTTTTTTTTTTGGCATTTCGTTTCACGTGTTTAAACGCCAACAGGGGAGGCGATTTTCTTTTTCTCTTTCTTAATAAAGCATTTTGTTTCAGAGAACTTACAATCCGCAGATTCGTTTTTCACTGATGTGACACGTTTTCTGTGCTAAGTTCAAATGGTAACTTGTATATTTTCTAAGCCCTCATTAACTCGCCACGTTTCTTCAAGAGGATAACAGTTAAAGGTAAACAGATAAACAGCGTGAGCTATTTTAAGTTACATTTATCGGTTAGCTTCTGTCTCGTATTCGACTGTGCCTCGATTTAGTTGTTAGAAGTTTGTTGAATGAGGAGGGGGGGGGGGGGGAGGTTTGTTTCTTGTGCGTGGGGTGAGGGTTAAGGTGGGGGTAGAGGAATTGGTATTTTTTTTTTAATGCTCGCGTGAATTGTTAACGAAACTATCTTTTTCAGGTCTCTTAGGTAAGCAAAACATTTTATGATTAGAGCATTGGTTTTAGGCATTAAAGTAATCGTAGTCGGTTTTTTTTTCACTTCATCCGTGTAAGTCTTAGCATTCTGTCGTGTGTTGTGTTGCGTGTGTTCACAGTGTTTATATGTGTTCGCAGTTTTCCTCTGTGCTATGTGTTGTGTTGTTTATGTGTGGGCTGGTGGGAGGTGTATCCTCTAGTGTAAACAAGTTCAAGCACACAGTTCAGACAATCAGTGTTTCTTCCAGACTTTTTTCTCCGGGGGTGGGGGCACTTAGAATTTTCGGGGGGGGGGGGGGATGTAGACTTTCTTCGGCGGGGGGAGGGGGTGCTCCCCCCGAACAGATGCCTGGAAGAAACTCTGCAGCCAATCAAAGAGGAATGTGTTGTCAACCTGCTATTATACTTAAATCAACTGGATTTACATTATATATTTTTTATAGTTGATATAAATACTAAGAACACAATTTTTCCCATGTCTTAAAATAACTTGGAAATATCTGGTCGAAATGTGGTCATTTGCTGTAGATACCTGTGATCAAATTGGATAAAGTTCCTATGTTAGACTTTATTCTAGCCAAACTATTGAACCAATTCCTACAGAAATATAAAATACTTTTCTAATTAATGTTTTAACAACATCTAGAGAAATATAACTGCTTTGTTATGTATGTTAATTTATAATATTATAACTCCTACAGAAATATGAGGACCTTGTAACGTACCCTGATTAACAATCTTGAAACACCTTGAGCAGAACTATGACTACCAGCAGACTATGGCCCCAAGAATGCGCTTCTGCCATCTCTGCATGCCCAGACGACGCAGGTTTTTTTCTCTGAGTGGAATCCTTCTGGCTCTGCTGTGTCTGGTCTTGACCTTAAGGTCACACCTGGACCAGCCTGACCAGGCGTACCACAGGTACCAGAGACTAGGTCCACTGAGAGAGGTCAGAAGTCATGCTGCTCCAGTCGTACATGGGGCTGGGCGTGAGCTGGACACGCCGCACGGACACAACATTCGTTCAGAGTCTACACCAACAGATCACGTGATGCCCGGTACACGTGTTGTGATCAAGGAAGACACACACCTGTCTCTGGGGTCAGACTTTCATCACGGCAGGTATGAGGTTCCAGACAAGTCACGTGGGTCACCACGCTCTACTGAGACACCAGGAGCTGACGCCGGCACTTCAAAATTCCTTACTGACGAGCCATTGATCCAGTCAATAGATATCGATGGATTTTCAATCAGTGGAATCGGTCACGTGGTCGAAGGGATGTTCTGGTCAGAGGAGGTAGAGAAGCTCATCCCTGCAGGTACCTGCACCATTGTTTGTGGCACCAATTCCGTTGTGGGTTGAAGGAAGTGGGGGGGGGGGGGAGGGGGAGGGGCATCTCAGTAGAAACGTTATGCAGTCAAATAGCGGGGAAGGGGGGCGATCTAAATCTAGAGTTTGTGGGTTTCACAAATGTGTCTGGAGCAATGTGTTTAGATCGAGGTAGCAAGCGTAGGCTCTAGAACAAATGTAAGTATACGTTGGTAATGTATTGCAACAGAAGCTTGAATTAGACAGGTGTGGGTACATGAACAATATAAAACGTGAGGCCGGACACATGAGAACCATTGGGGCTCCCTTAATTTTTTTTAAATTACAAACTAGGACTTAAATGACAAAAATCACTTACAAATAAATACGTTTATCATGTTTTGCTTGATCCAAACCTATGGATATTTTTCAATGCTTTAGTTTTCTGATCCACTGCTTTGCTCATCCACTGCTTTGCTTATCCACTGCTTTTCTGATCCACTACTTTGCTCATCCACTGCTTTGCTGATCAACTGCTTTCCTCATCCACTGCTTTGCTGATCCACTGTTTTGCTCGTCCCCTGCTTTGCTCATCTACTGCTTTATTTCCAGCTATCTGCCCCCAGGCGAGAAAATATCGTTGTTAGCCTTTTTTTTCCTCTCCAACGTGAAAGCTATTTCACACTTGATCAATGTCAACTAATGGAAACTAGCAACAAGCAATCAGCCGCAAAGTCGAATGTTTCCGTGTGTGTTTTGTTTCGATCTTTCGTTAGAGTACTTCTTGCTTGTTTAGAACAGTTTCTTAATTATTCACACACAAAAATTGTTTTAACGAAACACCATAGATATTTATCCACTATAATCCGAGACATTCACATTGTGAGAAGCAGGCCTTGATCAGTTTTTTTGTCGTTTTTGTCTAGTTGTATCTGTTGATCGTGTCATTTTGAGGTTTACAATGTCGTCTGTTCACTACAGGGGTATCAGAGAGTCAGGCAGACGAATGGCTTATCAAGTCCCGGAAGTTGCCAGTAAAACACATTGAGCCTGCGGAATGGGACAAGTGTGGCCGGCAAAACAATGCGTTCGCCATCTTGGACGACGGAACAGAAATGTGCGTGCGTTATCGGTCACCGCGACATAAACTGCTGTTGGGTGAGTCCACTAAGGAAATATGACGTCACGCACACTTTGTATGTTGTTATTTTACATCGGGTAAGGAAAGGGCGGAGTTGAAACTTGGCTGTTGTGGTGGACCCCAAGATAAGACCACTGGAGATAGAATCGTGGCTACAGAGAGTAAACGTGTTAAGTCTTTATACAACACTTCTTGATGCCATGTACGTAATCTGCACGGAAATATTCTTCTATCCCAGCAACACGGCAGGGTGAACAGCTCAATAGAGTATCACGTGATAGTCAATGGGGCTTGTAAGTCTACGGTCTCGAAATCTACTAGCTGGCATTTAGTTGTGACCTACTTACAAGCCCTATTATGCTTTCAGGTGCCGCTTCATCTCCGATTGATGGGCTAAAATGAATTGATTTCGAGACTAATACTCCATTGTGTATGAATAGTAAACGTGTATATCTGGAGCTTTATATGCTACTTAAAATTGTAGAGAACATACCCGTAGTTTAACATTTCGTTTTATGTAGCAAAAGATATAGAAGTATAACTGAAAGCTGGAGGCAAATATTAGAACCATATCAATTGGTGTCAGTGGCGTAGCGAGGTCGGGTGTCATCGGGTGCGGCACTTAATGGTGTCGCCCCCAGAGGCGTAGTGACCCTTCCCGGGGACAAACTTTCAAATTTTCGATTTGCACCCCACCCCCCCCACCCCCACCCCCGTCAAAGTTTTGATTTGCACCCCCCCCCCCTCGAGTTTTTCTCTATATATTTTGCTATTTTTTGCCTTGGTGTCACCCCCTAAATAGTGTCACCCGTAGCGGTCCGCATCCCCGCCCCCTCCCTCGCTACGCCTCTGATTGGTGTAGTGGATATTTAAAGTCAGGTGTGACCCAAAATGTAGCATACAATTGACGTGAACTCACCTTATCCGCCCCTCCATACAGGTGAGGCCCTCTCCTACTGGCTGGCCAGGTACCTGCACATGGATTGTGTGCCACCCGTCTCCATCTCCCAAGTCAACTCCAGCCAGTGGAGTAATCAGACAAGCCACTTCCGGGAGCTAGGGTGGAGCAGAGACGAGCTGGTGGCATTGATCATGTGGATTGATGAGATCGATAATCAAAACTTGATCAGGTTGGTTGGGTCGATATTAATTTATCCACGCTAAATTACAAAACGTGTTTGTATTTAAGACTATTTGGCTGAGATGAGCATTTGACGCATGACTGAAGACGCTTTTATTGTGAAAACGAAATCTAATGACAGCGCCATGTTCTTGATCTCCTATGCTCCTTGAACCGAAGTCAAACTTTATGAGACTGTTTAACACGACACGATATATATCTATGATTTAACGGAGCAGATGCATCTGATCTATTGTCTACTTATAACAGCCTGTATTAAATAAAAACTAGAGTGATTAAGAAATTGATCTAGTCCAGACGTTTACCATCCCAGGTCCCAGGTCCATATAACGACGGTTAAGCACACATCATGATGTTTAACATGACACGACATAATTGAGACGTTTACCATCCCAGGTCCATATAACGACGGTTAAGCACACATCATGATGTTTAACATGACACGACATAATTGAGACGTTTACCATCCCAGGTCCATATAACGACGGTTAAGCACACATCATGATGTTTAACATGACACGACATAATTGAGACGTTTACCATCCCAGGTCCATATAACGACGGTTAAGCACACATCATGATGTTTAACATGACACGACATAATTGAGACGTTTACCAATCCAGGTCCCAGGTCCGTATGCCCCCACTCCTGCTGCACGCCTACAAGACCCACGCACCTTTAGACAGCCACACCCTAGTGACACACCTCAAGAACCTGACCCACAGACCCACAGCTGAGGGCGTGAGTTCAAATCTTGTTGGGGCTTTGATTGCGCTGGCACAATGGGGGAGTATGATTATCTTGGATTACATCACCGGCAACTACGACAGGTAACTCTGGTTTTAACTGGCAACTACGACAGGTAACTCTGGTTTTAACTGGCAACTACGACAGGTAACTCTGGTTTTAACTGGCAACTACGACAGGTAACTCTGGTTAATTAAACCGGCAACTACGACAGGTAACTCTGGTTTTAACTGGCAACTACGACAGGTAACTCTGGTTTTAACTGGCAACTACGACAGGTAACTCTGGTTTTAACTGGCAACTACGACAGGTAACTCTGGTTAATTAAACCGGCAACTACGACAGGTAACTCTGGTTTTAACTGGCAACTACGACAGGTAACTCTGGTTTTAACTGGCAACTACGACAGGTAACTCTGGTTTTAACTGGCAACTACGACAGGTAACTCTGGTTTTAACTGGCAACTACGACAGGTAACTCTGGTTTTAACTGGCAACTACGACAGGTAACTCTGGTTTTAACTGGCAATTACGACAGGTAACTGGTTTAAACTTGCATCTACGACAGGTAACTCTGGTTTAAACTGACAAAAGAAATATCTCTGGGTTGTCTACCTTACTGAGATAGTAACATGGCCAATTTACATGCTGTGGCCATAAATCAAGCTTAACTTCAAATAGAACACAAACATATTGACCATAATTTACCCGATAAGGTAGACTAATGAAAAAGAAAGAAATACTGACATAATTCTATTTTTTAAAATAATCTTTTAATGTAATCGTTTTCATATTTGATTGTGTGATTTTGTTGTAACACCATCAAATAAATGTACTTTAAAGAACATGTTTTTTTTTTGGGTTAAATTTACTTTTTTTAAAGTAGGAGATGAACTCCTTTGAATAGTATTTGGTATAAAGGTTTTTTTTTTTAAAATATGTTAGTGTAGTAAACAAAGCTATAGATCTAATGAAACAATGCTCTATTTGGTTTTCAGAAATTAGTTTGTCTTATTTTTTAAATCACTTTTCAAACTGTCAATTTTGTTTTGTTTGTTTATGCAGGGTCGCAAGCATGCAAGATGGCGCCGAGAAGGAGAAGAAATGGACGATAATCGAAGAGCCAATCAGAAACTTGAGGCGCTCTAAATACGAGCAGATCAAGTTGTGGCTCATTGACAACGAGAGCGGCCTGCTGGACGGCTACGAGCTGATGTATCATGGCTCGTCTAATGGACGCAGGTTCGGATCCGCTTTAAATACGTTTATATTCATTTGCTCGTGTAGTTTACCAATCATATAAGAAAGTAATAATGAGCCTAATGACCTACTCTATGAAATAAGATCTAAGTTTGTGTTTATAGCTCCAATCCCCACCCTGCCATTCTGGTTTACCCCTGGGTTCTGCGACCCATAAATAAATTGGGATCCTTCGCCCAGCGCCTAAATATTTTAAATAGTTTTTTTTTTATTTTATTTATTTATTTATTTTTAAATTGGTTCTTTAAACAACTGGTTAAAAATAAATGAGAAATGAGAAATTTACGGGTAGAGATTAGTCGTACTCAAAGGGACATAATCGTGAAATAAATACTGTTTCTCCTGTCTGCAGGTTTTATGAGTTCCATGAAGCAATGTTGAAGACAATGTGCATCTTCCAGCGTCGAACGGTCAGCGGGCTGTACAGGCTGTACAAGCACAGAAGCCCATACAAGCTGCTGGAGAACTTTGCCGTCCGTGGAGATTCTGCCGTGTCCAAACTTAAAAAAGATTCCAGTTATAAACTCTTTGAGAGGGTATTCGCCAAACGTGTGAAATCAGTGTTGGGCTGGATTCGTGAGTGTGAGACGAGATTAAACGGGGTTCCTTTAGTCTGACTCACTGCTTTTTGTACTCATTTTAAAACATACCAATGTCTGTACTCATTTAAAACGTACTAATGTCTTTTTGTACTCATTTAAAAAAAACGAACGTCTTTTTGTACTAGATTTGACCTCAGCAGTTTCAAGAAAACCATTAATGAACATTAGAAACAACTTTAATTTCCAAATCTTTAGAGGCATAAAGTTGTTTCTAAAGTTCATTCGATTAATTTTCAAATCTTTTATGGTATTGATTAGCCACGTCAGTTATTTTCGACCCCCTTCCCCGGGGCGATGGTAAAAAATAGCCTAAATATAGTGTACATTTAGGCTTGCTTGTTTACGATAAATATGAACAGCTTTGAATAATTGTATTACGGGGTCGTGTCGTCATAATTAATTATTAAACTCGACATATCATCCTAAGAAACGGAAGGCAAGACAAGTTGCTGATGAAGTGTGGTCAGCACTATGCCCAGTCACCCTTTTTTTTCCTTAACGAGTAAGGTACCCATCATAGCTGTATGGACTCAAGGACATTCGACTGACTGGAACCTGGACTCGAATTTGTGACGTTCGGGTTAGCAGTCTAGCTCTCTACCGCTAGGCCACGCCGTCAATGGACAGATACAACTGTACAAACGTGGTCAACAGAAAACATAATGGACACATACAACTGTACAAACATGTGGTCAACAGCAAACATTATGGACACATACAACTGTACAAACATGTGGTCAACAGAAAACATCATGGACACATACAACTGTACAAACGTGGTCAACAGCAAACATCATGGACACATACAACTGTACAAACATGTGGTCAACAGAAACATAATGAACACATACAACTGTACAAACATGTGGTCAACAGAAACATAATGGACACATACAACTGTACAAACATGTGGTCAACAGAAAACATAATGGACACATACAACTGTACAAACATGTGGTCAACAGAAACATAATGGACACATACAACTGTACAAACATGTGGTCAACAGAAACATAATGAACACATACAACTGTACAAACATGTGGTCAACAGAAACATAATGGACACATACAACTGTACAAACATGTGGTCAACAGAAAACATAATGGACACATACAACTGTACAAACATGTGGTCAACAGAAAACATAATGGACACATACAACTGTACAAACGTGGTCAACAGAAAACATAATGGACACATACAACTGTACAAACATGTGGTCAACAGAAACATAATGGACACATACAACTGTACAAACATGTGGTCAACAGAAACATAATGGACACATACAACTGTACAAACATGTGGTCAACAGAAAACATAATGGACACATACAACTGTACAAACATGGTCAACAGAAAACAACATGGACACATGCAACTGTACAATCATGTGGTCAACAGAAAACATAATGGACACATACAACTGTACACACATGTGGTCAACAGCAAACATCATGGACACATACAACTGTACAAACATGGTCAACAGAAAACATAATGGACACATACAACTGTACAAACATGTGGTCAACAGAAAACAACATGGACACATACAACTGTACAAACATGTGGTCAACTCTCGTGGTATAAATCAAAATAATTAAATTTAGGATGACGGGCATTTTGTGCTAACCACACTATCCCCCCCCCCCCCACCCAGTGTTTCTTCCAGTTATAAGAAAAAAGTCTGGAAGAAACACTACCCCCCCCCCCACCCTCTTGTATGCCGAGATCATTGAAACATATGAACTACTTCATCAGCCCAATGTGTCTTAGCACGAACTGGAAAAGGCGACGGAAGTCGGTTCGAGGAGATAAAACTTCGAGCCACTGTGCAAGCCATAAATGAAATACTCAAATAGTACCTGGGTGACCTAGGATTAGAGTTCGCTATTGAATGGCTACAAGAAACGAAACTAGGAATGCAACAGATAAGGTGAAGATACAGGAAAAACTTGCATTACTCAGCAGGGGCGTAGCGAGGGGGGGGTGCGGACCGCACCGGGTGACACCATTTAGAGGGGTGACACCAAGGCAAAAAATAGCAAAGTATATAGAGAAAAACGAGGGGGGGGGGTGCAAATCGAAAGTTTGAGGGGGGGTGCAAATCGAAAACTTGAGGGGGGGGGGGGTGTAAATTGAAAGTTTGAGGGGGGGTGCAAATCGACAACTTGAAACTTTGTCCACGGGAAGGGTCGCTACGCCTCTGGGAGGTGACACCATTAAGTGCCGCATCGGGTGACACCCGACCTCGCTACGCCACTGTTACTCAGAAATGTATGACGTTTGTCGGGGTAAGGTACGGGGGGGGGGGGGGTAGAAATGTGATAAAGGTAATTCCTGCTATTTGTTTCATGATAATGTGTTGCTTGATTTTTGAAAAAGGACCCATGGGTAGATAACTTTGAGCAGCTAATTCCTATTTATAATGAAGCTGGCCAAAAAGGATAGTGACCAGAGATACATTACAAGGGCAACTTTTTTTTTTTAAATCTAATATTATTATGGTAGTTCAGAGAATAGGACTTCCAACTAGGCTAAATGCTTTTTAAGCGGGTGAAATTCTTTTCCACCATTGCAAGTGTAACCAGGAAAGGTAACATGGGGTGTAGCCCACCCCTCCAATAATTTTGACCAAAATTTTGATCCCTGTTTGGGAAATTGGGTGTAGATTGGAGCAAATTCTAATTTCATTATAGAATATGCTAGAAGAAATGAATATCTTAAAAGAAAAGTCATGTATCTATTGAGATGTAGATCTGTCTAATAAATTTTAGGCCAAAATAATTTTTTAAAAAGCCAATGCGAAATTTATGTACGAACTTTTCTCCACCTGATTTTGGCAAATGTCCAAAAATTTTATCTGGTAACACACAAGTAGCTGAGTGAATCATGTTTATTTTAGTAAACTCTAGCTAGCTAGACTCTAGAGATTACTCTAGAATCTAGGGATCTAGTCTTCTTGTCTAGCCTCTATTGATCTAGTGTTTCTTAATCCATTTTATTAATATTTCATTTAGGATAGAGACCAAGATATTAAAAACTAAGTTTTAGGTAAACGATTAAATTATTAATTAAAAATAGGCGTAGTGATTGAGGAGTGAGTGTACTCTCAGTGTACTCGTGACTGTGAGTGTACTAGATCTAGATCTAGATCTAAATTCTAAAACTAATAATAATCAGCTAGTTTTGTGTAGTGTACACTGAGACTGTTCCAACTGTACACTATGTATGTACTGTTACTGTAACTGTAGTACTGTCAGTCCTGTGACTATTAGTAGACATAAGTAGTATTATCTATGACTATGACTGACTAACTATGTAGGCCTAAATATAAATATTAAATAAACACAACCAAAACACACAAAAACATTAGGAAATCACTCAGCCTATTTCTTAATTAATGAATATTTTGTTTCGTTTTTTAAATTAATTTTGTCAAAACATGAGAAAAATCCAAAGTTTGGAATATGTATTATGTAGGCCTTCTATTTATTTAGATCTCTAGATTCTAGATTTGATTTAACTTTTTTTTCTTGAAAATATGATCGTGTCAGTTAAGATTTTCGTGGCAATGGGTAAAGTAGAAACACATAATTGCAAGACATGATACTATAAATTAACTTACATGAACTCACAGTGACCCTAAGCTATGACGTATGCTGATAATTTAGGTCAATGTGAACTCACGGTGAACCCATGACCATGTAGGGATTTTTCTACCGCTGACGATCACTTGCTATTTAATTGGAAATGTACTGTAATAATATTTATATTTTTTACCTTTTCTAATTAAAACACATTCATATATCTATATCTATCATCTAATGATTCTAATCCTAGTGTTTTCATAACGTTTTTGTTGTGTTTATAATAAAATATGCTCAACCGGAGGTGAGCGTGAAGCTGCGAATAAAATACGCTAAAATGGAGTTTTACTGTGATACTGTATAAATACTATAGTACTGTTATAGTACTGTATATTCTCAGTAATTCTGATATTATTACTAGATCTAGTAGAACTAGTTGTATAGTAGTACTAGAGTTAACAAGAGTAGTAGTAAAGTGACATAATCTTTTAGAATTAGAATCTAATCAATTCTAATGTCCTAACTATTTACTATGTATACTACTTAGTAACTAAAGTTAAAGTAAATTAAGATAAGTCTGATAAGAAGACCTACACAATTTTGTGGACTTTTGTTTTAATAAGCTACTACATTGGACGGATGTAAATTTAGGAAACTGTGAAAACATGTAATGAGATACCATATAACCATATTGCATTTGGGTTTAAGTCAGGTCATAGGCCCCAGGTTAGGTGGTGAGGACTAGAGACATTGGACACAATATGGTTTGACATGGAACAATGTAGACATGCTTCTAGTGAGCAGGCAGGATGCCTGTAGTATACAATTAGGGACTATAGGAACGCTAACCTTTTCTTGTTTGTTTTAGAGGTTGGATGTGTACTTCTTTTGAATTTAGAGTTTCTTCTTGGTTGTGTTATGAAAACTGTCATTGTCTATAGGCCAACTTTGGATTCATCATTACATTATTCATAACTCATAGACCTAGTGGTTTCTAATAGTTAAGTGTTTGAACGGTCACTGCAGTCATCATGAACAACATCAAACCATAGTACCAATTATACTGATGACTTCACAATAATATTCTTCTTATTTGTTCCTAACTGTAATGTTGGAGGTATTTCCAATCCAACACAATTATAATTAAGCATTAAGTTTCAACTTGTTAATGTTATGCACCATTTAGGCCCTTACTCAGATTTCAGCATGCTTTTCTTTATTGCTTTGCTTCCAAAGTTTCATAGTTTTTGTCCTACCAAGAACAAACTACAAGGTAGCAGTTGCTAGATTTTGGAGTTTACTCCCCTAGATGGCTTGCTGTCCACAGCTATCTAGTCTCTTCTGCCGAGGGTTTGAACTTGGAAGGGGTGTTACTGTTAGAATGTTAGTCAACTAAAAACATAGTCTATGGGTATGACTTGCCCTTGCTGATCATTAGCCTAGGGTCAATGTTAACCCTAACCCTCAACCCAAGTCCTACCTTAGTTCTAACCCTTATTTCTTACCATAAAACTAAACGTGAGATTACAGTAATTTAGTGCTGGTGAATTTTTATTTTTCCTTCACTTCTTGTACATGAATAAATCAGGTTTCCCAATGCTTGAGCTGTCCACATAGATTTGTTGTTGTGAAAAGCACATTCCCTCAAACCTAGTCCTCCACACCAAATTGATGCAACTTTTATGAGTTTCCTCATGTTACCAATCTGTATTTTTTTTATGTGTGGCCTTTTTACATAACTGAGTAGTGTATCCCTATTGAAGAGAGCTCTTTAAAATGAATGTTATGCTCATGAGGGAAACTGCCATGCGCTGGATGACACCCCTGGTGCAGATTGACCATTAATTCAAGTAGTAACCACGTGCAGATCAATGAGCTAACCTCGAGTGCTAAGATGGCCATGAGAGAACTCGGGGCGCCCTATATACTATTGCCAGAGGCTCAGGGGTGCCCCTGGTTTGATTAAGTCATTGATTGTAGTATCCCACCTTATCTCTAGTGTATGGTGCTCATTAACAAAAATTAGGAGCCCTAGTGCTCTTGTGTGAGACCAAGGGGATTCACGTCAAGTGGTACCCCTGACCCCCTGTGCAGGACGCCAAGTTAGCCAACCTCATGTCCAAAGATAGCCGCTTGAGAACTTGGGGTACCAACAATGCACTGTTGAGGCCTGTGCATTTCTCTTCCCCCTCCCCCCCCCCCACAATATTTAAAGTTTTTGTAGAGGACCTTCTCTTAAGTGTACTCATGGTGATCAGATGAATGAGAATGTAGTAGAACATTAAAGGCAGACATACACTCATTTTTATGTATATAAATATTTGATACCCACGTCATTATATTTTAACTAACTCTGAAACTCTTTTGTTATATACATGAAAATATTCTTTCTTGTCTACCTTGTACCTTTTAAAAAAGTGTTAAACGCCACTAAAAATTGCACAATCTCTAGAGAATACAAAGTGTTATCAGAACAGCTTACAAATGATTCATATTAGTTTATCTTAAAGAAATAGGAGTGGTTGACTGCACCAAGCTAAGCTAAAAATATCTGCGCCATAACAACAGGATTTGAACCTTGGTCGCAGTTTCTTATCTCTCAAACATTACAACACAAATAACTGACGTATGTTGATAGATAAGGTTAAACTATTGCAAATCTTTCACAAGTAGCTGTTGGTGATTTCACAAGCTTGGACATTTGTTTTCACTGGATTACTTTAAATCAAAATATTCGACTTAGGTGGAGCATAGAGTCACTTTTACTATATAAATATAATACTAAATAACTTTTTTTGTTTTTCAAGGTATTTTGAACTTCTAACTTTTTGATGCTATACATTTACACAACATAAGAAATACTGGGATACAAGTAGATTTGAAAAAACTATAACAACTTATATTCTTGTTAATTTCAAGATAAAAGTTTTGCCCTTTATTCAACAAGTTAAACAAATGTCAGAAATATAATTTTAGGATCTTGTGTAAATAAGTAATTTCCAAGTAATTTTCACTACTCTTCTGTCTTATCCATTTTCATTTCACTAATTAAACTTTATGCTAGTGATGTGTAAAGAAACAATGAAATGCACTAATTAATTTAATGATTAAGAATTAAGAATAGACACTATTGACAAATCTAGTCAATCTATTCAGTTGAATTTTCAATCATTTACTGAAGTTTCCTATGTTCTTTTCCTTTATTTTATTAATTATCATTTTAAAAAGCTCGCCATTGATATCTGAAATGTCCAGCAGCTAATAAATGTTTTTTTTTTGTCAGCAGTAAAAGATGGAAGGTCAAGAGAAAGCTGGTGCAAACTTCAATGAGCCCCCACCCAAGTATGAGCCCCCTCAACCTGGGTCTCAGTACTCTGAACAAGCACCTGGCTATGTACCTGGCCCTCAACCCGTTGGCTACCCTCCTGCCCAGCCTGGGAACTATGGACCTTACCCGGGATATGTACCAGGACAAGTTGTAGCTGGTCAAACTAGTAAGTTTATTTGTTTATACATTTCTAGTGACTGCATTTTAACAACCACAAACGTATACACTACTCACCTTAGGTTAATAAAATAATAATACCAGTGGTCTGTGGATTTGAATAAATATAAAATATTTTATTTTAAAAATATGGGATGTTTAATAGGTTGAGCACACCATCACCAAAACAAAAATCTAAGGTTCCTGGCTCTAGTCCATAAGATGTCCAAGAGTGCATGAAGCTCTGATAGGTGCCTGATGCTAGTCAGAGATGGCAGTTTTAACTTAGTACTTACCAAACATTCCCTAGCTTGCCAGACTAAAAGAACATGACCTCTATTTCATAATTCATCTGTTCTATTGATTATTAATTTATTAATATTATGTCTGGAAGGGTTCTTTATTATTTACTATCAAACCATGAAATAGCTTGTAATTGAAACACTTTCAAATTTTCCTCACAAAGCTGTAGTTGTGCAGCCCCAGCTGATGGCAATCAATGGAGGAGCCTACAGGTACATGCAGAACCCTGCCCTGATTGTCTGTCAGCACTGTCAGGCTACTGTCACAACATCTCTGACGTATGAAGTTGGACTGTTAACTTATGCCATTAGTGGTTTGATGTGCCTTTTTGGGTGAGATATTTTTTGTTGAACCCTCTGTATTATTTCAATTTACCAAGATCTGTATTATAAACGTAAAACGGCTTACACTATATAGTTGCACAATACAGGACGAAATTTTTTCACTTCATTATTAGGGTTAGGACTTGTAAAAATGTATTTGAGAGATGATAAAATGTCATAATTTTGGTTATGTAAGACAATGCTTATAAATTTTTTCCTCACATATCCTTATGCTTTTATCATATGAGTATTTCTTCCTTCTTATTTATTGTAACATACTTTCCCACCCATCTGAGGTCAAATTGTTTTAATGTTATTTACAGTCTATGGCTGGGTTGCTGCTTGATACCTTTCTGCATTGATGGAACCAAAGATGTTGAGCACCGCTGTCCAAATTGTAAACAGATTGTTGGAAAGTTCCGACATTTTAGCTAAAATATATTTTACTTAAATTCAAGAGATAATTGTACTTTGATGTTTTAATGAATAGGGAAAGGTACATGGTAAAGGATTTTAAACTTTTTTTTATAAATCTGAAGAGGAATATCAGATCCAGCTTTCTTAAACATTTTAACATAAACAAAATTTAAAACTGTTCAGTGTTATCTATTATTCTGCCTATTTTACAGCATCAAATGATAAAATCAAAACTTGTGTATATGTACAGGTTATATTTTGTCTTAAAGATGAATTTATTCTTTGTTTTAAAGTGCAGTAGTATTTTTGTTTGTACAAAGTGGCTTACAATTACCAAAAACCTATCTTAAATTATATTTTGTTTGACTTGAGAAGGCAATTATTTAAAACAAGGGATCAAGTAAATTGAAATCCTTAGTAGTACCTTCTGTTGAGTGTTATCCTCATAACATGGCAGTGTTAGCATTTTTAAAAGTTAGCAAAATGTCTTAAAATGTCAACCCAAAAATAGTACATTAACAGTCTAAGTCTTTCTTGTAACAGTTTTATTTTACTGGCGTTTCTACACAAACATATTTTTTTTACATTTAAATTTTCTATTTTAATATGAATTTAGTTTTAAATAAATTGCTGTTTTTTTAGATGTAAATACTAAGCTTCTAAAACTGTATAAAAGTGCATTTAACATTTACTGACTGTTACATTACATTAACCCCTTTTATTTGTACAATATGTTTATTCTGACATTAAATGTTAAGTTTTTATTCTTTTGTTACTGCTTAACTTTTTATCTAAAAGCTTAAATAAATACTAATTTTGGGAATGTATTAGTTATAATCTTTATATCCCTTATATTAAATAATCCCAAAAAATTGTTTTGATGTCTTTTCATCACACATGTTATTGTCCTGCTTTTAACACTGCTTCATTTAAAGCTACAGCCAGTGTGATACATTTTGGTGCAATTCCAGATTACTTATATCTGAATGTCATTAGGGTAATTTTAAATCAAGTTGTTACATGTTATTGTTCACAAGTGTGGTAAATTTACAAACATTTTAAAAATCCTATTTGGTTTGTATTTCTTTTTTTTATACTTTCGTATTATACATACAAAATCCATTTTTTAGTCTCCAGTTATATATAAACTATATTACGCATTTAATTTTGTGTCTTCCATTATTGTCAGTATTTTTATTTCATTGTTCATTTGTTCTACTTCTTGTAAAGACAACTTCCTTAAGTTATGTTATCCCATGAAACCGTAATTATTCTTGATCAAATACTTTCTTAGATAATGTAGTGAAATTATCCTTTTTAGTGCCTTTATAAATATATATAGTAATATAGTCATTTTCTTTTCTGAATGAATCAAAGAAAGGCAATATTTTCATTTTTAATGTTTTAAATTTTTTTAAAAATTCTAATGCATCTTCTTAAACTTTTGTTATATGGGCCTTTACATTCCATTTTTCTTTCTTTTGTTGTAATTTGGCTTGCTTCAACTTAGTATCAGAGTGTTTAGCTAACAAATGAGAAAGTTATGTCCTTAGTTTTAATCATTTTAAATTTATATCTACTGTTGTTGATATTTTGTAGCTTCATTTATTTTTAAAATATACAATACATTTTTATTAATCTAGATGGCCAGCCTTTTTAATGTCTTAAATTTTAGTAAACGTCACTTTGTTTCATCAATGTGAAGATTATCACAATAAATTGTCTTTTGCCTTGTTATTGCCCTTGTTGTACTTGGATTACGTGGAATGAAAGATATGTTCATGCACGATCTATCATGGGCCATGAAAATTTCTGATTTCTCGTTAAATGACATTTACTACAAAAAATAAAGTATCCATAACCTAGAAATAGAATGCCAGTTTCCATTCAATCAATAGAAAGCGCCTATCTTGTGGCCGGCGTCAGTAGTACCCATTCAGAGGCGTAGCGACCCCTCCCGGGGACAAACTTTCAATTTGGCGCCCCCCCCCCCTTTAGGTCGGCGCCCGGGGACATATGTCCCCGCCCCCCCTGGCTACGCCTCTGTACCCATTAGTAAATAGATGGTTAAAGAAGGCGCATATAGCGTGGTCGGCGTTTGAAGGCCTACTTGACTGTTAATGAAGGCACCTATCTATGACATGGCTGAAACATTTTACCGTATATGTTTTGGATATGGGATATGAGTGTGTCACCAGTGCAGTCCAAGTTATGGAGATGGAGCTACAAATATTATTTGCTACAAGGAGAGAATGAAAAGAAACGGGGGCTGGGTTCGTTTTTGTTCTAGATCTAGATTCTATGCCATTTAAAATAATGAGCCGTTCGTAAACAGTTATAGATTCTACATAGCATACCGTATTTGGGAACTTGAAACTTATATTAGACCTAGATTCTAGTAGCTGGGGTTTATTTGAACAAGTAGAAAAATTAATTTGTAGTTGTATTTGAGTAAAATTCAAATCTCCCCCTCTCCTCTCGAAAGTTTTAAGTGCCCCACTCTAGGATGAATGTTGTCTTTCCATCTATTGTTGTGCCTGTCTTTTTTTTTTTTTTTGTTAGCCCATATATTTAAAGTTTTTAGAAACGTGTAGCTTATTTTACATCATTACAAAGTAAAAAAGGTAATTAAAAAGTCTAGTGACAATTTTAGCGCAATTTCCTTATGTTATCTAAAAATAGCTCTGTCGTAGCGTACATCAAGAGCAGGGTTAGTAAAACCATTGGTTAGTTATTAAAACGTTTTTTATTAATTTTTTTTTCAGTATTTTACAAGTTTTATTTACAATAGAGTTACATGACTAAAAACCATTGCGCGCCTAACTACCGAACGTGATGTCGCAGCCATTGAACGTGATGGCGCAGCTATTGAACGTGATGACGCGTGTGGTGTGGTTGGATAAAAATGCCTACTAATTCGGTCCAAATTTTAATTAATTCAAAAAAAATTTTTGTGACCGAACGGAAGGATATTATTGAAAACTTTCTTCGGCAATATTGTTCTAAATTATGGCAGGAATCGATTGGTACATGTTTCAAGTCGCTAAGTGGTCTGGTTGCCGAGATATGAGCAAAAAACTGCATTTTTTCGAGGTTTTTTGGCTTTTCCGGGAAATCCACGAAAGAAACCCGGAATTTTTTTGGCCTATGTTCATCCTCGTAACTTGCTTAATATAATTGCTTTTGGAACTAGTCCTCGATATTGCTTCGTTGAGGAGGAGATACGACTTAAAGCTGCGGACACACATCCATTCATTCATACATCCAGAAATGACGGGTTAATAAACGCAATTCTACAGAATGGAAATTGCGCTAAAAACGTATTCACAATCTGTGAAACAAAAGGATAATCCGGCATGTTGATGCCAATATATTGCAATTCGTTATATCAAAACAAGGATGCACTGCTTTTTTATCAAACACCCGGGCTTCTATAATAAGATACGCAACCTATTTGTTTAAATTGGTTTAGTAACTATTTAGATCTACTTAAAGTTGCTAAACTGTTTAATCTTAACTTTATACAACATATGAGCTATATAGTGTATATAGTTTATTATATAGCAGTAACGGAGAAACGTTGACTGCGATAATCTGTGAAGTACGTGTTGTATCACGGGAATGTTAGAAACAAGATGGCGCATGTAAACTACCCCTAATTCGAAAGACATGCAAGCTGGACTGTTTTGATCGTCATCAAATGATGATTGGAATTAAAGGGGTAAAGACACATAGATTCATAATTTTATTAACAAAAGCAAGATACAATTAAATTGCAAAAAGTGTTATTTATTTATAGAATTTTATTAAAAATTGAATGAAATGATGGGAGAATCTTTCAGTCGGCTAATGAAAAAAATGCTGTTGTGAATTATCTACCCTTTCTTAGAAAGAATCAGCAGAAAGAACGTTTCTCGCTGTTGAAGTTCTCAACAAAATAAAAATACACCTTCATCGTTAAAAAAACAAATCATGCCTGAACTTCACTAAAATTCAACTGCTAATTAATTTTTCGACTTGTTTAAATACTAAATAGGCCCCAATTAGTTTTACTTTACTTATAAATAAATCAGTCTAGACTTATTTGCTGACTTACTACTAGTGTACTAGACTAGTGACTAGACTTAACTAGACTACTACACACTACACTGTCTAGAAGAGTGAGTTTAGGGCTAGGGGCAGGGGACTCCAGACTAGATCTAGATCTAGAATCTAAATTTTAAAAAAAATCTTAATCTAGATCTAGATTCTAGAGAGCCAGTGAGAGAGGCTAATCAATAACAAAATAATTAGATTGCCTCCTAGGTAGGCCTAGATTAGATCTAATAATTAAATTATAAATTATATTATTAGTTTAGCCTTGGCCTTATGCCTTAGGCTACCAAACTATTTTATTTTTTAGATCTAGATCCTAGATCTAAGCCTTAAAAAATATAAAAATTAGGCCTAGAGCCTAGGCCTATACAATTCTATTAATTTAGCCTAGGCCCTAAGCGGGCCCTAAGCCTAATAATTTAAATTCTATAAGACAGTATACTATTATATTTATAAGGCCTAACTCCTAACTAGATCTAGATTATCTAGATCTAGTAGGCTAAATAAATAAATTAGACTTAATTAGAATCTTAAATCTAGATCTAGATTCGATCTAATTCTAAACTTCCACTCCCTAGTTTTCTAGATTAAGATCTCAATCTGGAGTCTAGAGTATTTTAGACTAGCTTTCTAGATTTTGAGCCAGCACCCATTATTCTTCCCTCAATGGGCCATTTATCTAGTTAGTTAATAATAATATTTCATATAGCCTAAATGATATAAAATGAGAAAGATTGACTAATATTTTGGATATTAACTTTATAACATTGACAAAATTATTTTTCATCTAATTGGGTAATTTAACATTTTCAAACTATGAGTTAAATATTTATCATACCACTATAGTCATATATTTAAAAAGGTTTTTGATAGCCCAATGTGTCTTTTGTTCTTTTTATTTTTTAAAACAGTTGATGTTAAGTATTTATTTCTATGTACAATTATTTTTGTCTTTTACAGTCCAAGCACTGAAGCAGGGCAGTGCTGTCTCATTGATGGGAAACAACAAGAAGAAAGCCAACAACAGAAATTCAGTGAGAGAAAAGCACTGCCCAGCAGTCATCTGTTATTTACAATGGCACAAATTAAAACTTATGCACGGCTGAAACCTTCCAAAAAAGCTTACCCTGGCTATGAAATTGGCAAAAATGTGCTGACAGTACATATCCCAGATAATAAAGATTTTCTTCTCCAAGGACCCCAGCAGCCCATTCGCAGCAACCTTAGCTATGACATAGTCTTTACCGATATCTTCAGGCCTGAAGTCACACAAGAGGCAGTCTTTGATGGTGTTGCCAAAGATATTATTCAAAGTAATTTTAGGCTATATTTTAGATATTATATATGTATTTAAATAAGCTTATCTGTTAATTTTATTTAACAACGATTGTGTTTTACATCTAAATGTGTTTTTTTTTATGAATGCTTTAGTTTTTCACAACTTGATTTATCTATAGATTTTTTAAATGGCTATAATGGAACAATTTTCGCTTACGGTCAAACTGGAACGGGCAAAACTTATACTGTAGAGGGTAACTCCTCTCGGTACAACACCAGAGGCCTAGCTACACGGTGAGTAGTGTCACACTAACCTGTTAGAATTGCTGAATGGATTTTGGAACAATTGAAACATTACTTATAATGGTAATATTAAAACATACTACTTCTGCCGTCTGAAATAGTAAGATAAAACTAGCATTGAAATACAATTCTATATTAACTCCTATAACTAAATTTATTATTACCAGATAAAGCAATACATACAGATTTATAACAGATATTTATTTTAATTCAAAATGAATTTTTGAGATGTTCAATATTACTTGTATGGCTGTTTTCTTGACTATTTTGTATTAAAATTCCCCATACAAAATCACAGTAATCGGGTTCTTTGTTAAAACATTTTTAATATCCTAAATTTATGAGCTTTCACTTTTTATTTTGCAGAGCCTTGAGCATGATATATCAACAACTAGAAAATCGAACAGATGAACATATATCAGTGTATTTATCCTATCTAGAAATATACCAAGAAGTTGCCTATGACTTGCTAAATCCAGCAGCAAGATCATCTTTACCTGTAGCACCATTTGCCAAGGTAGGCTAAATTAACATTACTTTCTTGATGAAGGGGATTGGTCATTAAAATCTTTGAAAGGGGAGTTAATCAGCTTAGTGTTTTAGACTGCCCATTTACCAGTGATGTTTCTTGGCATTGATTTACCTTATGTTTATACTTTATGTTTTTATTGAGTAGTGTTTCTTGTTCAGGCAATAATTCAAAAATATATTTATATTTTGTAAGCATTTTCGAGTTTATAATTTGTGCTGATGATTGCTGTTTATTCGTTTTATTTTTATAAACAATTTATGCAATAAAATTGAAATATTTTCTTGTTTATTAAAAAACTGTCTGCTATTAACAAAAACTCAGTAAGTCTTTTTAAGAAATAGTTTTTTTATTGTTTTTATTATCTACAATGGATCTATTTTTATGTGATAAATTTTTCATAATGTTTTCACTTTCTCATTTAACATAAAAATATTATAAATAAAGCTATTTCGCATGTTCTGTCCAAGATTAAGAAGTTTTAACTTTATTAAGGTTACAGTGGTTGAAGGGCCCAGAGGCTCATGTATTTTGAGAGGTCTCTCTCTGCATCTTGCCGCCAATGAGGAAATCGCACAAATGCTCTTATTGCAAGGACAAGCCAATCGTAAAGTGGCTGAAACACCGGTAAACCAACGGTCGTCAAGATCACATGCTGTGTTTACTGTGTACTTGCAAGTGAGGAAGCATGATTCGGAAGTTCTTGTTAAGTAAGTTCAGCATTCACTTGTTGCGTTCATTTTTTATTTTAAATTGTCATGTTTTTAAATTGAAAAGCTTTAACATTCTGCTTGCCAATTTATTTTAGCTAACATAATAGCAGATCACATTTCACATTAGTCAAAATGCTACTTCTTAGCTAAAACGTAATGTCTTTTTAAGAAATAAAATTCCCAGACCATAAATTTAAAATGTTAAAATTATGAAGCTGATATACTAAAATCTTATTCAATAAAATATTGTTAAAAATTGTTTCCTTTATTCTTCTTTGAGTTTGTTAAGTTTGTCAAATGTTTTTTAATTAGTCACTTGTTTGTTACATAGACCCATTACACTATTATGTTTTCACTTCACACCTTTTCATTTCTATAATGTATAAATTAAAAATCATTATACACTATATACACATAGTTCAAATATTCGTACACTCTGAAGAAAGCATTTTTGTTTTCTCTGACTCCTGATATGCTATCCTGAAATTGTACACATGGCAGTGTGTAAACCAACTTGATTGGTATAAGTTGACCTGATCTGCACTATGAAGGTTTTGGTAGGGATCACAGGAAATAACATCAATGGCATGAGTAAAGTATTGCAGGACTAACTAAAGGGTCATTAATTTAAACCACAAAAAACTTGAGACAACTTCTCAGTTTTATCCAAGAAAATAAAATTCTCTAAAATCTTACTTCCAATAGTTTTATTAACTTACACTGTAAATTTAGTACTAATTTTATAAATATAGAAACACTGACTTAATGTGTTTTTTAAATTAAAGCACTGTTGTTTAAAGCTTTCATTCTGTATTTTTGTTATAAGGTATAAGTATATTTAAATGTTAGATTTAATGTGTGGAAGTTAATGTTGGACCTGGAACCCACAATTCTTTTTTATATAAATATTCAGAACCAAACAGAAATCAGTAATCAAATAAATATTCAATAATATTTCATAGCTTTATATATGAAATGTTCCAGACATTTACATGGGAACACAAAAGATAAAAACAATTTTCTGTAATTATTTGTTCTTATTGAAAAAAAAATACCTAAATGATATTTACGTTATCCTGTTAATAATAGGCTATATTAAATGTTAACAAAGAGATAGAAATTGACTGTCTAAATACCCCACCCACACCACAAAAATGTTATATAGTTTACCTTATAAGCCTATCTCCTCCCCTTGCAAATATAGAATTCAAAAGGATATACTTTAACTTAATAACCCATTCTCTTTGTATAAAATTATAACTGATTATTATGTTTTGAAGGCCTAGATAATAATTTGACACACTATCATGAATTCAACATTTTATCATGAATAATTCATGCTAAATCAGAAAAATGCAATCATCACTTTGCTCTTAGTTCCTCAATGGGAATCAACTAAGCTACATGGAGTGATGTACTAATTATGGTACCACTTAAATACATTGTTAACACGTAAATACATTGCATGTATTCATACACGTATGTTATATAAATTATTGTCCATGTTGAAACAAATTCTTTACACATATCCTACGCACCATAATGTGATTTAAAGATCATGTATCAAGTGACGTTAGTCGACTGTTATATTTATTTCTTACTTTGTGGTAGGCCAGGCAATAAACCACTGTATTTATTTTACAGAAAATCCTTTCAAGCTATGCTACATAAAGCTAAATAGGCCCCCACAGCTTTATTTTACAGCAAGTTCTTTATCAATTTGTTAGGACTACCTACATATTCATTTAGCCAGTATTGTCGATTTATACGTATATCATGCCGAACACGTGAACTCCGTGTTTGGATCCTGTTAATGCACGATGTAGAATTATAGATAGCATCTCCTTAAGGGATTTAATCGACTGTTTCACTTGCGTATTGAGCAGGAGCTCTCGTGACGGTTGCTTGTAAAGTTGTATTCGTCCAGATCTAACAAAGGCAGCCATTCAGGTTCGATTATCATAACTGTAGGATTTGCTGTAATTATCAGCTTTGGTACGAGGATTTTGTATTTCAGTTTCCTATAATCAGAGTTCTTCTCCCCACCTCCACCCAATGATGTCATTAAATCTTGACGTGTGGGCTAGGGGGGGGGGGGGGGTCAGGTATTTCTGAATGTTTAGCCGGGCTTTCCTACTCTATATACCACTAAGGTAAACAATGTGTTCACACGGTTGAGACATGTAGGCTATATTTATACAGTGGTCCAGCAACGGTAGCGTCAAACGACGGGGGGCGGGTAGGGTGGACCACGCCGTATGGGATCCATGTAGGGCGTGACACCAAGGTGAACACAACAGTAAATGATTGATGTTAAATATATCATCCAGCACAGTGTGTCAACATCAAAGTGTGTTGGGGAAGACAAAAATAATGCTAATTTTAATCAAAGTGAACAGCTCTACACACCACTAAACATGGCATGACACCATTCACCAGAGGGGTGAGGTGGTAACACCCGGAGCCACCACACTGCATGACACCCGACGCCAATGTTTAGCAGTCACGCTACACCTTTATGAAACTCAAAAGATCAACTATTCCCACTAGCATTGGCTAAGTTTAACATTTCTTATAAAGCACTTTCATTATGCACTGCTAATGAACTTAATCATGGCATACTTTTGTGCGAGTTAGAAGTCAACTGTAACTCATAGGAACTGACTTGTTTCATTAGTTCCTCTGTTTTGAATGGTCTGGAATAGACAACTATTGCAAGTCAAGAAAACTTTATTTTTCTCCTGATGCTGAGGTCCGTGTGGTATCAACTTTATCCTTTGTAGCTGTACTGGCGAATATTGACCACGTGACGGCTGGCAGTCACTGCCCATAAGGCATCACCAAGTTTTACAGGCAACATTTGATTTGTCATCCCAGCCATCTCCTGACGTAGCAACTATGTATATAAGTATAATATCAAAATCGTAGATCCGTATTAACTTTTGAGCGATTTCCGATAGCCGGAAGTGGAGCTTTATCTACTTACAATTTTGCAAAAGTTTATAACTTGATTACTATTTCAGATAGATAAATGAAATTTCAATTGTAAGTAAAATATCTAATTCTCTGGCTTCTATAAATTTTTTATTAATTTCCGTTGACCGGAAGTAGTAATTTACGCTATTTCCGATTTCTCAAAAAACGCACGTGAATTTATAAAGTACTAATAATATCCCGCACTATTATACACATTTTGTTTTGCGTTCACTTGGTGTGCAATTCTTTTTACTTTCTCGTATATACGAAGTATAGAGAAAGTATTGTAATCGTGCACAAAAATCAATTGAAATTTTAACTATTTTCACCGTATTACACCTCAGTCCTTCATCACATCCGAAGTATAGAGGACTTATTTTAATCGGGCAAAAATTATCAATCCAGATTTATCAAAATTAAAAGGTTTTATGCGTATTCCAGTCTGAAAAACTGGGCTTTGCAATTCTGTCCGTATGTCTGTGTGTCTGTGTGTGTGTGTGTCCGTGTGTAAACACGATAACTTGAGTACCGTTACAGCTAGGTTGATGAAATTTCATATATAAGTATTTTATCAAAATCGTAGATCCGTATCAACTTTTGAGCGATTTCGGATAACCGGAAGTGGTACTTTTTCTACTTTGAATTTTTCAAAAGCCTATAACTTGAGTACTATTTCAGATAGATAAATGAAATTTGATATGTAAGTAAAAGATCTAATTCTCTACCTTCTGTCAAATTTTGAGAATTTTTCGTTGACCGGAAGTACTTATTTACGCTACTTCCGATTTCTCAAAAAACTAATGTAAATTTTAAAAGTACTAATAATATTGCGCACTATTATGCGCTTTTTTATTCGCGTTCACTTGGTGTGCAATTAATTTGTCTACGAGATTTTATTCTATTTTTAAAACTTTAAGTATTTAAAATGGATTAAAAATCATGTCTATAGCCCGAGTTCCCATCCCCTGTTATTTTATATAAGAATACTAGCCGTCCCGGCCAGGCCCTGCTCTGGCTTCTGTGAAAAACCTTTCCGTTAAAGACCATTACCTGTGTGTTTAGTAATCATCATAAACCCGGCATTGCCCACCCAAACCACAACCAACCAAAACAACAAAACGCAAACATAACGCTAACACAATTAGAAATACAAACGAAAACAAAAACCTAACAACAAACCCAACCACAACCACAAACACCAATACAAACACAAAGAAAAAACAAACGAAAACAAAAACCTAACAACAAACCCAACCACAAACACCAATACCAAAAAAAAAAACAACGAAAAAGCAAACGAAAACAAACCAAATCCAAACGCAAAACCAACCAAAAACACAAATACAAACCCAAACAAAAAAAAACACAAACAAAAACGAAAAAAGAAAGAACAAAAACGAACCAAATCAAAACGCAACCACTAACGCAAACCCACCTAAACACAAAGAAAACACTAACGCGAACATAAACGCCCGGGGCAGAATCGCCTGTTTTAGCTTAATAAACGACTATAGTACCCCAACTTATTCATAGTTTTTGCACTCACTTAAACGAACGCGCCTGTTTCAATTTAATGAACAATTATAATACTCCAAGCTTATCCGTAAAATACCTAAAACATTTGCACTTGATCAATCCCCGCTAATTATGTAATTATTTTTTTCCCAACACCAAAACAAAGTAATTAAAAAGTAAATGCTTTTCAACTAATGCAATGATTTCGTAAAGGGAAGTAATTGTGTTTTGCCTAATTTATCAAAGGGAAGTAAGCGCTATAGGACTAAAGAAAGACATAATTAGAATTTTTGTAAAAGATGATATTTTTTTTAAAACTTGTGTTTAATGAACATGCCGACAATTATTACTACAATTTGAAAAATGAAAATGATTTCCCAACACTTTTAATAGTAATTTTTTAACTCATAAATTTAGACAAACGCGCACGATAATTGATCTAACACTTAAATCCGTAGAAATGCCAACGACAAACATATGCGTTACAGAATTGAGCTTTATATATT